AGGGTGGAGGGACAGTACAAGAGGGGAAGGCCCTCTATGAGGTGGATTGATTCAGTGACTGGGGTAATTGGGATGGGAGTGTCAGAGCAAATTTAAAAAAAAATAAAAAGGAAGACGCCCTAACCAAAAACCAAACCAAATATAACTGAAAAATTTCATCTATGTTTACTTACTCACTTACAAGCAAATAGTCTAAATAAATTCCTATTAAATTTCAAATCAGCAAAGGAAATTAAAAATATATTAAGTACATAAGTAAAAACTGATATAAATTTTTATTTTTACATTAATGGGTATACATGTGAATTTACATTAAACCAAATGTGTATAAAACATATGTGATCACATCTGAAGGTACAGAAAATGTTTGAACATTACGTCAGTGCCAGTTCATATAATAACTTTTAATAAACTAATATTATAATTTATTTTGCATTCTATACAATCCTTAACATATAAATAGATGTGTTGTTGTTGTTATGTGCCGTTGAGAATATTCCTTTAAAGTTAGAAACAATGCCACCACCTCCATTAATGAAAATTGAACTGGAAACACAGGGTCAGAATAATAAAACAGAGAATTGTGAATAGGGAAAGGAAAAGATCAGATGACGCTATTATCACTACATATTTCAACGTCATAACCTCTCTGGTGGTAAGTAGTTGTACTGCCAAAACATGACAGAGGTTGAAATCCTCCTGCCTGCCTGTGGGAGAAATGTGGGCAATCTCCTCCTATGTACTGTCTCTGAAAACTCTCTAGAGGGTCAGTTATGACCCAAGTTGGACAACATATTAAAAACGACAACAAAATCATTCCACTTAAACCCGGCCTGAGAAAAAGTCAACATTATCGCAAAGAAGGTTTTAAAATTTGCTGGTGAAAAAAAAAAGAACTTGAAAAGTATAATTGTTCTCTAGTGGTCCCCTGCCTATGTATGGTTTTAGAATTGGGGTGCAATTTTACTATCCAACAAGGACGCAACAAGAAAGCCAACACCAATGGAATCGCTGCTAGGGATGGATCAAGTAAGAAAACTAACCAAGAATTCGTTAAGTTGTGCAGTTTCATAGGACTGCTTTACTGAGAGTTAAGAGTCAAGATGAAGTGTTCAATACTTGAAAACAGAGGAGACCAACACCCAGGAAGAGCTGGGAAATGAGGGCATTGCACAAAAGAGAAACCTAGGTGTTCAGGTTGGCTGTATCCCACTTGTTCTTCATGGTTCTCAAACATGCAACACATGGGGTGAGGGGTATAAACTCAGCTCAGGCAAAGAAGAAATGCCAGTGCAAAGAACATGAAGTTCAGGACTCTGAGTGTGCAGTACTGTTCGCGGCTTCTACCAACAAAGGGTGTGCTTAGAGCCCGCCCCTGCAAAGACCTCTGGGAGACCCCAGGGAGCGTGGGGGTTAAACGGATGTGCTGCCTACGTCTTGGTTTCATTTCCGGTCTCTCGAGGCTCGGTGGAGACGTGGACTGCACGCTCTGACACAGATCCGCTGAGAGGAGAAACTGTCTACGTTTCGAGGTAAGCCCCTTACGTGAGATTTGAGGGAATGAAGGACCCCTGAACAAAGGGCTTGTGCAGAAAGAATCACTGTTGAGACGGGGGGGCCTGGCGGCAGCCTGGGAAAACCCTCACTCACTGTCCGGAATGCTGAGATGAAGCCGAGGACTGTGGCCGACCACGATCTGGTCGGGGGTCCACAGGAAAACCAGGAGTGTGGGACACCCACCCAGGGAAACGCGGGGTGGGGGGCACCAACTGAGTGCTGATACTAGCTTTGAGGCTCTGAGAATGCTGAGACTTTTGCATAGGTGGTGGTGGTGCTGTGGGAGCTTCTAGTCAGAACCGCTTCTTTCATGGCGGACCTTGGAAGGGATGTTCAGGCGTCCTGATTCGCCCGGAAGGGCGTTGCCCATTTTTCTCACACAGAGCCGCCATTAGAGCGCGAACTTCGACACTCCGCGTTGGCAGCGCGGTCCTTTAGGGTGCTCTCATATCACTAGCGGCTAGAGTCATTTACCCTATAGGAGTCCACGGAAGAACCATGAGTAAAGTTTTACTGGTTTATAGGTCATGTTACAGGAGTTGAGCCAGCGCATCTATGTAAACAGAAAGTGTCCTGATAGTTTCCTGTCTAGTATTTCAGAGACGAGACACCTTGTTCAAAAGGTGGTTTTTGTTACTGTTTTTGTTTATCGCGGAGTCAGAACCGACCCATAGCAGACTCTGCAGCGGGAGAGGAAGTTGCCCATCTTCTCCAGAAGTTAAATCTCTACTAAACAGTGTCTTTGCAATCACTTGTTATGCGTCAGAGAGCTGGACAATGACGAGGGAGGACAGAAGGAGAATTCTTGCTTTTGAGCTTTGGTGTTGGAGAAGAGTGCTGAGGGTGCCATGGATTGCTAAGAAAACAAGCAGATTCATCCTAGAGAGGGTTAAACCCGGCTGCTCCCTGGAGGCAAGGATTCTGAGACTTCGTCTGGCGTACTTTGGTCATGTTGTAAGGAGAGACCGGTCCTTGGAGAAAGATATGCTTGGGAGGGTGGAGGGACAGCGCAGGAGAGGAAGGCCCCCTTTGAGGTGGATTGATTCAGTGACTGGGGCACTAGGGAAGAGTGTGTCGGAGACAGTGCGATTGGCACAGGACAGAGCAGCGTTTAGAGCTGTTGTACATAGGGGTCGCTATGAGTCGCAAGCGACTCGATGGCACATAACAACAACAATCAGTGTCAATTACAGGACAGAACAAGTTTATCAATGAGTATCTGTCCTGAGGGCTTACTATGTAAATAATGCTACTATCCAACCTACAAGACAGAGCTGCAGAAGGCTTTGTCAGAGTACCTCATTGCCTAGGTGAGATTTGACACACCCTTCAGTGCCTGCATAATTACTCCTGGGCAGCACAAAGCAAGCTTGCGAAAAGTGCCAGTGCCTGTCTTCACGATTAGTGAATGCTGTTAGGGAGTGACCTTGTATTAGCACACAGTAAAGGCTCTCGAACCAACCAGTAGAAAATGTAAGGAGCTTAAGCTTGGATTGCATGGTCTTTCCATCCAGAAGACTCAAGAACTCAACAGAACCCAACCCTACCTGTGTGCTGTCAGATGAGAGAGTTCTGTTCTGGGTTGACTCGCTGCAGCCAGTGGAGCATTCACGTTTCCTTTAGGTTCTTAGGGGATATAACACTCAGAAAACCAGATGATATTTGAAGCTCTAGAGCATTGTCAAAAGAAGGCTACTGCAAGTGGGCTTCTTTAGAACTACCACAGTTTATTTTGCCAACTTAGGTCACATTCACACTATCCTTCTCTCCTCAGGCTCTGGTCCCTGCTGCTGTTGACAAAGGCCATCATGTCTCAGGAACAGGAGAAGTCATGGCTTGGTGAAATTCAAGATCTGGAGAGTACACAGGGCAACCAGTCTCTGGAGGAAATCGATCCCTCTCCCTCCATGCCTCCAATAGCTGATAACCTGGAAGAGCTTCTTGGTGCTGAAACATCCAGTAATACCGAGGGTCCTCAAAATGAGTGTCCCTCTACCGTTCCTGCCTCATCAACCTCATTGAGCAAATCAGATGAAAGCTCTAGCAGTGAAGAAGATGAAGATTTTCCAAGCACTTCTGAGGTTCTGGCATACATTGTGAATATGTGCAAAGATCTTATAAGAAAAAAGATAGATTTCCTGGTGGATTTCCTGCTGACCAAGTACAAAAAGAAAGAGCTGATTACAAAGGAAGAAATGATGAATGCTGTCATGGAAGAGTATGCAGACTACTTTCCTGAGATCCTCATGAGAGCCACTGAACGGCTGGAGATTATCTTTGGTCTGGATCTGAAGGAGGTGGATCCCGGCAGCAACACTTATACCCTTCTCATCAAATTAGGCCTCACCTATGATGGGCTGCTGAGTGAAGTAGAGGGCATGCCAAAGTCTGGTCTCCTCATACTGATCTTGAGTGTGATCTTCATGAAGGGCAACAGGGCCACTGAAGAGGAAGTCTGGGAAATTCTGAGCGTGACAGGTATATATCCTGAGCAGAAGCACTTCATCTTTGGGGATCCCAAGGAGCTCATCACCAAAGACATGGTGCAAGAAAAATACCTTCAATACCAACAGGTGCCCAATAGTGATCCCCCACAGTATGAATTTCTGTGGGGCCCACGAGCCCTTATTGAAACAACCAAGATGAAAGTCCTGGAGTTTGTGGCCAAGGTCCGGGACACTGACCCTAGTTGTTTCCCATCACAGTATGAAGAGGCTTGGAAAGATGAAGCAGAGAGAGCCCAGGCCAGAGCTGCAGCCATCGCTGTAGGTACCCCCAGGGGCAGGGTGAGGTTGACCAGGAGCTCTTCTTTCCCCTAGTGATACCAAGGGTAGATTTTCCACACCATGTTTCAGGAAGCCAGTTACAACTGTTCAGGGAATCCAACATACTTCATCTTTTTCTCTATGTTCTAGATACGTAAAATTGAACATTAAGCTTTTATATTTGCAAAGAGTTGTTTTATTTAAATGTTATGTCATAGACCGTTTAATTGACACAGATTCTATAAGTTTAAGGATAATTTTGTTCAATCTTTTATTGGTGGTTATATATTTAAAATATTTGTTAATTTCTAACAACAAAGAATTATTTGGAACCAAATATTACATTTTGTGATGTGGAATATGGTAAGATGGCACTGTTACAGGAATAGCTCTGATTTGGTGAATGAACACAGCTTAAATAAATATAAGTGAGATCAAGAATCAGAGAAAACCCTAATTTTAAAGTGTTGTTCTCTTAACCCACTGGTACTGACCTGGATTTTGTCAGTTTTTTTCAATTCTGTAAGAGAAAGAATTCTTAATAAATGATAGCACATACTCACTGTCTCATTTATTTCTGAAACCGTAACAGAGCATTTACTCACTGGAAAGTATTGGTTTAGTACAGGCATGGTACAGTAAACAGCACTCAGCATTTGCTTCTAAGATTTTGACGCATAAGAGTAGTAATTTTATTAGGATGGTGGTGGAATATCATCTAATACCTGAAGATCACATGAAAGAAGTTAATACGGTAAAGGGTGGTGAGTGCAAATGAGAGTATGAGGTGTAAATACCTTGAAGCTAGAAAATTTAGGGTTTCAGTGGGAGGTAGTTTTGTATGTGTCTGTAATCAGAAACACATTCCTTTGGGTTGGCAGTGCAGTTTCTTAACACTAGGCCACCAGATATGCCTTATCATAAATACCATAATTATTTAAGGATTTAATTTGACATTTAAATCCTAATTTGGCTCTGGTGGCCTAGGAGTCAAACAGTTCAAATCCACCAGCTGCTCAGCTAAGAAGCATAGTTCTAATTCACCAGCTACTCCTAGACAGAAGGTTGCCAATCGCCTTCTGTGAGATTTATTGCTTCTGAAAACCTGCTGGAGGTTGGGCTAGGATCCAGATCCACAGTACATAAAAACAAATTAATCAACTGGTCCTTGGTGAGGGACATCATGTTTGGGAGAGTGGAGGGATGGTGTAGGAGAGGAAGACCCTCAATGAGATGGATCGATTCTGTGATTGGGGTGGTGGGAGTGTGTTGAAGACGGTGAGGTTGGCACAGGATAGAACAGGGTTTAGGGCTGTTGTCCAATAGGGTCGCTATGAGTCACAAGTGACTCAATGGCACATAACAATGACAAAAACAATCAATCCCTTAAAGTACCACAACATCAATTTGCTGTTTGCATTCTCCTTTCCCCTACCTGTTAACCTTCAAAAATGGATTATATCTGCCTCTATAGAGTTTTATAATAGTACCCATATACCATGACATTGGGTATTTTCTGTGTTAAATAATTTTAAATACTTAAGAAAATACAGTATCCTACACAGGTTTTTCTGAAAAGATAAAAGGAAGAAATGTTTCTAACTTCCTTGATAAGTTCATCATTCCACTGATAAAGGATATAGAAAAGAGACTACAGGGATAATAAATAAAATATCTTCCTTGTCCTTAAGTAAAATTTTAACAAATTAATATGACATACAGAAAAAAGAATGTTAACCATGATTGATTGGTCTTCAAAATATTACACAAATTTTGTATCCCTGGAATAAATTCCATGTGGCGCGTTTAGCTATTGAAATATATCGGCATTGTTAGCTGCTATTTACTCATAGTTGTTCCATGCACAATGTAGCAAACTACTGCCCAGTCTGGCATCCTGTTCATGCTTTCAATCAGACCACTTTGATCTGCATAGTTTTCATTGACTATGTTTCAGACGTAGATCACCAGGCCTTTTTTCAAGTCCATTTTAGTTGCAAAGCTCTGCAGAAATCTCCAGTATCACAGCAACATATAAGTCTTCAGTTATATGCAGAATGTCTGTTTATATGGTTCTTTGATATAAAAAAAAATGTAGAAATCCTTGTATACTAAGAACAAAGAATACCCAAAACATTCCCTGGTGAAGTTCAAATGCCTTCATTATGGACCACACTGCATGAACCAAAAATCTTTATACCAGTAAGTAATTCCATGGGGAAAGTTTCAAGGTATCAGGGAACCCATTCCACTTGTGAGTCCACAACAAATGTACATGGAAATAATACTCAAAAAAACTCCAATAACTTATTCCAATGAGAAGACCTGCTGAAAAATACATATGCATGTGAAAGTTGAACAATGAGAAATAGCATAGATGATCCAACATCTGTGAACCCATGGTGCCAGCAAAGAAAACCAAGCACACTGTAGACACTTGAAAAGAATAGGTGAACTAAAAAAAATATTTTTATATACTTAATGTTTTTCTAAGTCCTGATTGGTGTCTGAATGGCAATTTTATTTTATTTTCTGTCATTATTGACTCCCCATGCAAAGAGCTCCATTTAGATTTTCTTTGGTAGTTGACCTTACATATTCACAAATTCCCTTGTTCTTGTTATTAGGGGTCTTCAAGGTAAGCGTAATTCATACTAATTCTATATACAGCAGCTCTGTATTGTGTCCCTGACCTAAGTGTCTGAAGCCCATTGCTGTAGGCACTGTGTCAATCCATCTCATTGAGGGCTTTCCTCTCTCCCTGACCCTCCATCTTTCCAAGCCTAGTCACCTCTCCTAGCAACATACCCAAAGTATGTGATACAAAGCTTTGTCATCCTTGGCTGAAAGGAGCATTCTGGCTGTATTTTCCCCAAGACATATCTTTGTTATTTTGGTAGTCCCTGGGATACTTAGTACTCTTCTCCAACAAACACCACAATCAAAAGCATAAGTTCTTCTTTTGTAATTCATTTTCCAGCATTCAGATACACAGTGAGTGAGTGAAAAGACCATGAGCTAAATCAGGTACACCTTATTTTTCAAACTGACACCATTACTCGTAAGTAATTTGGAATAGAACAATACAGAAATAAAAGAAAAATCCCTTAATTTCTGCTTTTCTTGAAATGTGCTAATTTCACCTTCATATTTGATAGTCCCTTTAACAAGATACAAGATTCTTGCTTGGCAGCAGATGTCTTTTAGACTATATACATAGATACACACACACACATAAATATATATATATATATATCATCCCAGTACATTCTGGCCTGTAGGGTTTCTTCTGGAAAACTGGAACTTACTTTTTGTTCTCGTTTATAGATGACACAGTTTTCCTGAGTTACTTTCAGCATTTATTTTGTTTTTCATTTTAGAAAATATGATAATTTATCTTAGCATTTTTCTTCCAGCCTTTATCCTGTCTTTGGTCAACACTGCTTCTTGGTTTCTCATTTTTCATAATGTTTGGGAATTTCTCCAAAGCAAATCTTCCACAGGTTCTTCTTTGCTATTTTGTTACTGACTTTTGGATTATTTTTTTTTTAGATAAAGAGTTCTTTTTTAAAAAAATAAAATTTTACTTTAATTATTATAACAAACATTTATAGAGAAGTTAGATTTTTTAATTTATTCATTCATTGTTGCACATTTTATCCCTTGCTTTCTCACAACCTCCCCCAGTTCACTTTTTTAAAAAAAATTTTATTTTATTAATTTTTGTGCATTGTACCGTCAAATGAGATCTGACAGATACAGGAGGAGATCGTCCCTCCTTCTCCAGCAGAGCATCTGGTGGATTCAAACCAGACACATCTGGGATTGCAGTGCAGCTTCTTGCCACTAGGCCACCAGAGCTCCCTCCCAGTTCACTTAAAAAAAAGTATTCATTCATTGTGGCTCAATTACCTCCTCCTCCCAGTTGTCTTTGCAATTACATATCTTTTATTCTGGGATTTTGTCATACATATAATGCCTAACCATATATTCATTTTAGACAGTTCCTTCTTTTATCTGTTCCAATGCAATGGTAATTACCAACTCAATCTTAATCCTATTCTCCTCCCAACCCCCCATGTCAGACCTGCTTTATAACAGTGGTGTGATGCAGTATTTATCCTTTTGCGACTGAGATATTTCACTCAGTATGATGTGCTACAGGGTCCTCCCTGTTGTGTAATGTTTTACATGTTCATTGTTTTTCAGTGTTGCATAGTAGTCCATTGTATGAATAGACCTTAGTTTTTCTATACATTCATTTATTGGTGGGCACTTGGATTGCTTCCATTTCTTTGCAATTGTAAGTAAAAGAGCAATAAATATGAGAGTGCATATATTTGTTTGGATGGTGGTTATTGCTTCTCTAGGGTATATTCTCAGTAGTGGAATTGCTGGATCAAATGGTATTTCTATTTCCAATTTTTTTTAGAAAGTGCCTAACTGCCTTCCATAGTGGTTTTACCATTTTACACTCCCATCAGAAATTACTAAAGGTCCCCATCTCTCCACAACCTCACCAGAATTTATTGTTTTCTGCTCTGTTGAGCCTTGCTATTGTTACTGGAGTGACATGATATCTCATAGTTGTTTTGATTTGCATCTCTCTGAGAGCAAGGGGTTTTGAACATTTCTTCGTGTGTTTGTTTGCCATCTGAATGTCTTCTTTGGTGAAGTATCTATTCCTATACTGTGCCCATATTTCTATCAGGTTTACTTTTTTCTCATTGAGAGTATTCTATAAATTTTAGATATGAGTCCCTTACCAGGTATGTCATTACCAAATATTTTTTCCCAGTCTGTGGCTTTCTTTTTTATCTTTTTTTAAGGTTTGAGGTACGTAGGGATTTGAATTTAGAAAGTCTCATTCATCTACTTTATTTTCTTCTGGTTGTAGGTTTTTCAAGATGCTTGGAAGACTGTTCATACTGTGGATTAGGGATTCTAGAGTACTTCCAAAATTTTCTCTAATAACATTTATAGTCTTTTATTACTAGGTCCTTGATCCACCTTGAGGGGTTTTTTTTTTGTTTTTTTATATGGTGTGGGACTTG